GGCCTGGTGCACTGGGAAGACCCAGAGGGATCGGGTGGAGAGGGAGGTGGGAGGGGGGATCAGGATGGGGAATACATGTATATCCATGGCTGATTCATGTCAATGTATGACAAAAACCACTACAATATTGTGAAGTAATTAGCCTCCAACTAATTAAATAAATAAATAAAATAAATAAATAAAAATATCCGTATAAACAAACAAACAAAAAAGAAGCTGAAGTTGACTGGTTCTGTGAAGATCTACAGCACCTTCTATAACCAACACCAAAAAAAAAAAAAAAAAAATCTTTTCCTTATAGGGGATTGGAATGCAAAAGTAGGAAATCAAGAGATATTCAGAGTAACAGGCAAGTTTGACCTTAGAGTACAAAATGAATCATGGCAAATCCTAACAGAGTTTTGTCAAGAGAACACGCTGGTCACAGCAAACAACCTATTCCAACAACACAAGAGACGACTCTACACACGGATACCACTAGATGGTCAAATTCGAAATCAGATTGATTATATTCTTTGCAGACAAAGATGGAGAAATTCTATATAATCAGCAAAAACAAGAGCTAGAGCTAACTGTAGCTCAGATCATGAGCTCCTTATTGCAAAATTCAGGCTTAAATTGAGGAAAGTGGGGGAAATCACTGGACCATTCAGGTACAATCTAAATCAAATTCCTTATGATTAAACAATGGAAGTGACAAACAGATTCAAGGGATTAGATCTAGTAAACAGAATGCCTGAAGAATTATGTATGGTGGTTTGTAACATTGTACAGGAGATGGTCACCAAAACTATCCCCAAGGAAAAGAAGCACAAGAAGGCAAAGTGGTTGTCATAGGAGGCTTTACAAATAGCTGAGGAAAGAAGAGAGGTTAAAGGTGAGGGAGAAATGCAAAGATACACCCAACTGAATGCAGAATTCCAGAGAATAGCAAGGAGAGATAAGAAGGCCTTCTTCAATGAACATTGCAAAGAAATAGAGGAAAACAATAGAATGGGAAAGGCTAGAGATCTCTTCAAGGAAATTGGAGATATTAAGGAAATATTTCATGCAAGTTTGGGCATGATAGAGGACAGAAATGGTAAAGACTTAACAGGGGCAGAAGAGATTAAGAAGAGGTGGCAAGAATATACAGAAGAACTGTACAAAAAAAGCTCTTAATGACCCAGATAACCATGATGGTATGGTCACTCACCTAGAGCCAGACATCTTGGAGTCTGAAGTCAAGTGGGCCTTAGGAGGCATTACTACCAACAAAGCTAGTGGAGGTGACAGAATTCCACCTGAGCTGTTTAAAATCCTAAAAGATGATGCTGTGAAAGTGCTGCATTCATTATGCCAGCAAACTTGGAAAACTCAGCAGTAGCCATAGGACTGGAAGATATCAGTTTTCATTCCAATCTCAAAGAAAGGCAGTGCCAAAGAATGTTCAAAGTACCATATAATATGCTCATTTCACATGCTAGCAAGGTAATGCTCCAAATCCTTAAAGCTAGGCTTTAGCAGTACCTGAACTGAGAACTTCCAGATGTACAAGCTGGGTTTTAAAGAGGCAGAGGAAACAGAGAGAAAATTGTCAACATTAGTTGGATCATGGAGGAAGTAAGGGAATTCCAGAAAAACGTCTACTTCTGCTTCATTGGTATTGAATGAGTTCAATGGTATTGACACAGAAACAAGGATATGAATCAATGGAACTGAATAGAGAGCTCAGAAATTAACCCACACACCTATAGTTAATTAATCTTTGACAAGGAGGCAAGAATATACAATGGGAAAAAAACAGTCTTTCAGCAAGTGGTGTTGGTGAAGTTGGACAATTGCATATAAATCAGTGAAGTTAGAATACACCCTCTCATGACACTCAAAAATAAACTCAAAATGTCTTAATCACTTAAGCATAAGAAATAACAACATAAAGCTCCTAGAAAGGATCATAGGCAAAACAGCTGACATAAATTGTCCCAATGTTTTCTTAGTTCAACTCCTCAAGGCAACAGAAATAAAAACAAAAATGAGCAAGAGAGACTGAAACTTACAAGCTTTCTTATAGCAAAAGAAACAATAAATAAAACAAAATGACAACTTACAGAATAGGAGAAAATGTTCAAAAAGGATTTGACTTACAAAGGCTTAATGTACAAGAATATACAAACAGCTTATACAACTCAACAACAATAAACAGAAATATCCAACTGAAAAATGGGCAGAAGAAGTAAATAAACATTTCTCCAAAGAGGAAATACAAATGGCCTACAGACACATGAAAAGTTGCTCAACATCACTAATTATTAGAGAAAAGTGAAAGTATTAGTCACTCAGCCATGTCTGACTCTTTGCAGCTCCATAGATTGTAGCCCATTGGGTCACTCTGTCCATGGGATTCTCCACGCAAGAATTCTAGAGTGGGTAGCCATTCCCTTTTCCAGGGGATCTTCCCAACCCAGGAATCAAACCCAGGTCTCTTGCAATCCAGGAGGATTCCTTACAGTCTGAGCCACCAAGGAAGCCCCAATTATTAAATACAAATTAAAACTACAATGATGTACCACTTCACACCAGTCAGAATGACCATCACTGAAAACTCTAAAAATAACAAATGTTGGAGAGGATGTAGAGAAAAGGGAACCCTCCTACACTGTTGATGGGACTTTGTTAATAAGTTGATATAGCCACTATGCAAAACAGTATGGAGGTTCCTCAGAAAAATAAAAAAAGAATTGCCATATGATCCACCAATCCCGCTTCAGGGCATATATCCAGACAAAACTCTATTCCAAGAAGGTACATTTACCTTTATGTTCATAGCAACACAATTCATTGTAACCAAGACTTGGAAACAATCCAAATATCCATCAACAGACAAATGGATAAAGAAGATGTGGTACACAAAGAAACACAACTCAGCCATAAAAAAGAATGAAATAATGTCATTTGCAGCAACATGGATGAAGCTAGAGATTATCATACTAAGTGAAGTAAAAAAAGAGAAAGACAAATACCATATGATATCACTTAAATGAGGAGTCTAAAATATGACACAAACCTATCTACGAAACAGAAACAAACTCAGCAGTTGCCAAGGAGGGAGACAGTAGGTGGAGGGACAAAGTGGAAGTTTGGAGTTAGCAGATGCAACCTTTTATATATGTGACAGATAAACAAAGTGCTACTGAATAGCATAGAGAACTATATTCAGTATTTTATGATAAACTATAATGGAAAATAATATATCAAAAATGAATATGCATATGCATATACATGTATATATCTGAATCACTTTGCTATATAGCTGAAATTAACACAACATTATAAATCAACTATTGTTCAATAAAAAAGTTTTAAATCAAGTAAACAAATTTGCAAAAATGCCCCCAAAGAGATCCATGTCCTAATACTCATCTGTGAATATTTTATTTTATGTGGCCAAAGAGATTTTATAAAAGTGATTGACTCTTGCTGTGGGGAGGATAACCTAGATTACCGTTGTGGACCAACATAACCTTATAAGAAGGAGGCAGGAAAGCCAAAGAGAAGCACAAGTGACAATGAAAACAAGATTGGAGTCATAAGAAGATGGAAACCGTGAGAAAAGGAGTATAGACAATCTCAAGAATTTGGAGAGGCAATGATCACAGCCTCCAGGAGAAATGTAGCCCACTGACTCCTTGATTTTAGTCCAATAATACAATTTTTGGTACTTTGACATGTGGCATTATAATGAGACTGTCATTTTAAGCCACTAAATGTTTGATAATTTCTCTCAGAGACTTAGACAACTAATATAACATGACCATGTTATTGGAAAAAAATTCTAGGCACTTGGAACAATGTTTTATTTTCCTCTTAAACTTCATGTTCATTGTGTGTTGGAAGCTCTGCATATCACTGCCACTCAAGTATCCAGGTCATTGGAGCTAAGTCCAACATGAATGTGTATTTCTGGGGAAGGGGGACATTGGTTCATAAAGGTTTTTACAGTTAAATGAACACCATGCCAAATACATCCATCACTTCTCCTTACAACTCAGTGATTTAAGAGGTCATGTGGTGCCACCTAATACAAAGGATAGAAATGCGTAACTCCCTGAGGACACACAGTGAACAACCAGAAGTATTTGGTGGAGCACGACACTTCCAGAGAGGGCTTACTGCACAAATCCAGTCTCTGCCACATCACTGACCTCTCTGTGCCTCGGTTCCTCTCTTGTATAAGGATCTCATATAACAGGCTGATTGTGTAGGTTACATGCAATGTACATGCAACATACATGCAAAAGGCTGAGTTCAAGGCTGGATCATGGAGTACAAAGTCAATGAAAGCTGTTGTTAATAAATAGTGGAGAACACTACAGGATCACATGAGGATGAATAAATAACTGCTTTGTGTCTTCCTCCAGGAGCGGCAGGTGAGGGGGAGCTGCAGGTGATTCAGCCTGAGAGGTCAGTGTCAGTTGCAGCAGGAGAGACGGCCACTCTGCACTGCACCCTGACCTCCCTGAGGCCCGTGGGGCCCATGAAGTGGTTCAGAGGAACTGGGCCAGGCCGGGAGTTAATCTACAGTAGTAAAGAGGCCCCCTTCCCCAGAGTAACAGGTGTTTCAGATGTCACAAAGAGAAACAACATGGACTTTTCCATCCGCATCAGTAATATCACCCCGGCAGACACTGGTGTCTACTACTGTGTGAAGTTCCAGAAAGGAGAACATGGTGACGTGGAGTTTAAGTCTGGACCAGGCACTCATCTCACTGTGAGTGGTGAGTATGGCCTGTGTCTCCTTTGTCCCCTGGTCTCTGACAAGTCAACAAGAATGCCCTTCACTCTTTGAACAAAAAAAGGAATCCACTACAACAGTGACCAGGACATGATCTGATTTTACTGCCTTCTACAAATCAGAGTATTTGAGGCCATGACGGTTGTGCTATTTGCTCAAGGCCCCTCAGCTGGTCAACATGGGAAAAGTCTGGATCCCCCATCTACCTGGCTCCACAGTCCTTGTCCTTTCCATCACATTCAGTCCGTTGATTCCAGGGATAAGGGAAATGAAAGTCTGAGTGACTTGCTCCTTGACAGGCCAGGCCTCACTTCTTACCTCTGGAGAGTGCACCCTCAGTGTGGCTGAGTCTTCTCTTTATTCAGCACTTATTGAGCACCTACTGTGTGCCAGGCCCTGCTCTGGATGCTGTGAAAACAGCAGTGAACAAAGCAGACAGGGGCTCTTCTCCCTTGAAGCTTATGTCCTCTTCCCTTCTGAAGAGGAGAAATCCATCCAGGGCAGGGAGGGGAGATGTGTTTCTTTGTTTTCTATTCAGACTATCACACTGAAAAGAGATTCTAAGAGACACAGTTTCAGTGTTTATTCTGATGGCCCTGATTGGAGACTATGCTGAGAGGTTGGGTGTTTCCTTCTGTCATCCAGGGATTGACTGACACAGTCACTAAAGGCTCCCAGCAGAGCTGGTTCATTTCAGAATGTCCCTCCTCAGGGAAGCAGTTCTCCATGTGGATGACTTAGGAGCAATGCCTTTGAGGCAGCAAAGGTGCTCATTTTTTTTTAGATTTTTCTGCCAAAGGCCCTGAATCCTTGACTCTCAGCACAGGATGGGCCTTAGGCATCATCCTCCCAACGTCCCATGTACAGATGGGGCCCTGAGGCCAAGAGGTGACAGGGGCCCAGACCACAGTCACATAGTCAGTGAAAGGATCCATCAAGAACCCAACCTGATTCAAGGCTAATCTCCTTCCTGCACCAGTATTGGAACTTGTTTCATGAAAGAACCTAGTGCATGGAATTTGCAGAATACAAATACAAATGCCAGGGTATTGATTTTTTTTTTTTTTTGGCCAGAGTTCCAATATGTTTCTAATGAGCAGCCATGTTTAAAAACAACTGGACTATATGAGGATCTTTTACTTTTATCTAGTCTGTTTCACTTTTTCTATTTCATATTCAGTGCTCCCATTTCATTTAGTTTATGTTTTCCAGTTTCTCCATCTCTTCTTTTTGTTGATGTTCATTTCTCAAACCTTTATCAAGTATAGTAGAAAAGCTTTTGTATACATATATATAAATTATGTATTATATATGTATTTTAGAAAACTTATGAATTTTTACCTAACTAAAAAATTTATGATATTTTGATTCTACTTGTTTGACTTAGTATTAATAGAATGCTAGATATCTAGTTAAAAAATATAGATATGCAACAAGCAACGAAAGTTCACTATATAGAACAGGAAACTATAGTCAATATCTTGTAATAATTTATAATGGAAAATACTTTCAAAAATAACATCTGTATATATGTATAACTGAATCACACACACAGAAAATAATTCTACTTTTTGAGATTTAGTAATGTTTCTCTTTTTACCAGTTTTTTTAAATGTCCTATGGATATCTAACAACAACATATGAGATACAAAATTTTAAATATATTGTGTAGGATATGATTAATATAAACTAATTAAATATAAGTCAATTATATTTAAATTATTAAAAACATCAAGATATTCCTATTCTTATTTTTTCTGCACTTGATAAAATATTCTCAGATAAATGTTAATATGTCTCATTATGTTTATATATTTTTTCTTTTCCATTAAAAAAAAGGAACTCACTTTGATTCCAGGCAAGGCTCCTTCCTTCACTGGCATTGGAACTAGTTTTCTGGAAGGGCCTGGCACGTAGAATTTGCAGAATAAAAACTCCTTGGGCTTCCCTCATAGCTCAGTCAATAAAGAATCTGCCTGCAATGCAGGAGATCCAGATTCAATTCCTCGGTCGGGAAGATCCCCTGGAGAAGGAAATGACAACTCACTCCAGTATTCTTGCCTGGGGAAACCATGGACAGAGAAGTCCAGGAGGCTATTGTCCATCAAATCGCAAGAGTCGAACATGACTTGGTGACAAAACCACCACCACCCAAAATCTCCTTGAATTAACCATGGAACAGGCTCTTTTCATTGCCTTCCCAAAGGTTCAGAAGGTCCCTCACATTCAGACCCCGAGCCTGAGGTGACTACAAAACTCTCCCCACTTTCACCCGCATGATCCCAAATCCCTCATTCCATATCAGCACCTACAGCTGCCCTGTTTTTCAACAACTACTTAACACTCAGCATATGGAGATAGCATCGTTTATCTCACAGTCTTCTGTTGATGGAGACTAAGTTGTTCCTAACCTTGGGCTACTGAAACAGTGCTAAGATGGATAAGCTTTCCAAGTGTCACTCTGCTCAGAGGGGAAATACCCACTGGAAGTGGCATTGCTAGTTCAGACAGTATGTGAATTTTAATTTGTGTGATGATATTGCCTATTTTCCCTCCTAGTCTTGGTAGCAAATAATCTCCCCAAACATCTAGACATCAGCAGGGAAGGCATTTTTTCCTGATTTCTCAGATATTACTAAACTTCCTAGACGGTGGGTCCCCTGTTCAGTCTCAATACAGCTAGTAAGTGGCTCCACCATCTCTCAGATCTGCTGTCTCCCAGGACTGTTCATCCTCTTCTCCAGGCTGCCTGCCCAGATGATTCCCTGGTTGAGAAAGGAGGGAGCGGAGGGGAGCCGCAGCCTGTCTGATGTTGAATCCTCCTTAGGCATTTACTCATTAACAACAGTGTTCAGAAGGAAAGGTTGTCTGTTTTCCATTTTTACAGATGAGGACCCTGAGGCTCAGAGAGGGAATCTGATTTGTGACCAGGCAGGAGAGCCAAGATCGAATCCCAGGCACCCACAGTCTCACAGCCCTGTTCTCTGCACACCCGACTGTGCTTGTCAAAGTCTTGAGAAGACTCCAGCCCTGTCCTCTTAAAATCTTATTTCATTCTTTTCTTTAGAGATAAACATTTTAAAAGGCGCTGTAAGGGAGGCAAGTCCAGTTTTACAACCCAGATGAGACAGATCATTCAGTGTCACACGATGTGCTGAAAAGTTCCCCAATGACAGGGATCAACACTCTTAAAAGTATCAGGAGATTTTCTCCCCATTGTTGTGATGTTGCGCCTTCAGCAGGCCCCTCTGGTGCAGGTCCAGGAAGGGTGGTGTGGACAGAGTCCAGAGGGGCCACTGTGATCCCAGCAGCACCGGACATGCCCATTGCTGGCGCTGCAGATTGAGGATGAGGAGGGGGAGGTGTTCCCTAGAGGGTGATGAGGGCCCATGTGAGCAAGAGTTCCTATTCTAGACTCAGGTGTCAGGAGCCCATGTCTTCCCTTGTTGTTCCAGGCTCCCCAGGGCTGGGCCCTCAGAGGCTACTCCTCCCTATAGTTGATGAAGTCAGGAATCTGAGGCAAAAGAGGGGGTGGTAGTTGGTGTGGAGGCTCCTGAAGGTGGTGGGCACTTGCTCTGCTGATGGACATGAAAGCTTAGACTTGACAGGAAATACCAGGACACAGTCAGTGGGTGAGAAGAGACAGTCCCTTCATTTCTCTCAGCCTCAGTTTTCTCATCTGTAGAATGGTGATCATCATGTCTTTCAGGAGAATTAGAAGCATTTGAGGAGCTTTGTCCAAATCACCAGCACAGAGTAGGGACTCCTAACAAAAGGTGTTATTTCAAGTCTGAGACCCAGTTCCCTGTACTGGGCCCCCCTTCCTCACCTGTAGAAAGAGGATGATCACACAACCTTTGCAGGGCGTCCTGAGGACAGAATGACCTGGTGAAGGAGAGCCCCTCGGGGAGCGATGGTGCTGACCTCCCAGGCTGTGGGGTCCTGGGCATGTCTCCGTTCCCTCTTGTCCTCAGTTTCCCCATCTATGAAATGGTGATCACACAACTTTAAGAGGTCTGTGATTGACTGAAGAGGGCTAGGAAGCTCTGGATTGGGGGGGGGGTTAGGGTGTTCCTGAGCTCAGAGCAGTGTCTGAGAGCCGGGGCCAAACCCCTGCCTGGTAACTCACCCCAACTCTGCCCCGTCCCAGTGCTGGGACCTCTGCCGAATCTCTCCCCACTCTGGGCCTAAGTGTCTTCATCCCTCAGTGACAGCTCTGTCCTCACAGAGCAGCTGAAAGGACTGAATGAGGGACACATGTCAAGAGCTTAGAGCAGACCCTGGCATGTGATACATGTTCCACCCACATGAGCCCTGATGCGTTGGGGCCAGAAGACCTCAGACAGGGTCACTTTCCCTCCAGGACTCAGTACAGCTGAGTTACTGTGGAGCTGGGTGCCTTTCAACCTCAGCTGCTCGTTGGAATCACCTGGGAGATGGTGACAAGATTGCAGGACCCTGGCTGTACCCTAGAAATTCTGATTTAAGTGCACAGACATGGCCTGGGCAGCTGAGTGTCTTAACTCCTGTGGAGGATGCTGGTGGATGTGGAGGATGCTAGGGCAGAGGAGCCTGAGCTGTGTGTTCTCTGAGGTCACCGAGAGGGAAGGCTGTGGTTTTTCCCTGATAGAGGTCGGTCCCCTGTTGTACCTGGGTTATAAGAACAGCTCTCCCAGGTGTGAGCGCTTCAGAACAAACTGTGATGGTGGCAGATCTTAGGAGGCCCAAGAAACTCAGCCTGAGTGGAGTGGCAAGGAGACCCACACCCCAACAGAGCTCACCTGGGTTGATAGGGCCTTCCTACTCACTCAGACCATCCTGTTCAGACCAGAGCTTCATCACCGGGGAAATCTTCCCATCTTTAGACACCTGTGTGCCTAAACAGACATTGGAATCCCTGCAAACACTCCCTTCTCAGCCTGGAGCCCTCTGGCCTCAACAACTACAGTGACACTGATGAAATCTGTCCTCGCTCCTTTCAGAATGCTTCCAGCTTCTATAAAAAGCTAATCTGCAGGAAAATGCCGGCGGTCTCTTGTGTGTTTTGAAAGCTAATTCCCCAAACTTATTTCTGATGGGATTATCTTTATAATTGGGGACAGATTCATAATTTGGTGTTTCTACTTTTTTTTTTTTTAATGTCAGTTTTTGCATGGAAGCTGTTTGGAGCAGAATATGACTCTCCTTGGTGCTTCAGTTATGCTTTTGTTTTGGCTTCTTACTGCCTAAAAAATAAATACGTAGTTTCAGAACTAGAATGACCAGATCTTATTACAACAAGGACATCTCTTGGTGGCTTAGATGGCAAAGAATGTGCCTGCAATGCCAGAGACCTGGGTTGAATCCCTGGGTCAGGAAGATCCCCTGAAGAAGGAAATGGCACCCACTCCAGTATTCTTGCCTGGAGAATCTCATAGACAGAGGAGCCTAGGACGCTAGTCCATGGGGTCGCAGAGTCGGACACAACTGAACAACTAACACTTTCACTTTTCTTTTATGATAAGATCATGGATGTTATTGATTAAGCACCTACCATATGTCAAGTTCTGTGTTTTATATGCATCCTCATCTTACCAGGTGGTGCTTGCATCCACTTTGTCCAGAAGCAGTGAGGCTCAAGGGTAAAGAACTGGGACACTAAAATCAATCAGTCCTGTGTGCAGTGAGGTGAACTCTGACCTTAATTGCCGTGTGTCCTTGGACAGCCTCACTCTCCCTGAATTTTGTCCTATATATGGGGCCACACTCAGGCCTTCCTCTCAGGGCTGTGGAGGGGATCAGAGAACTGAGGGTGATCAAAATATCAGACCATCTTTAGGCTCTGAGGAAACTCCGGACAAGTAGAAACTGAACACAGTACTCTGTCCCTTTAGGGATGTCCAGGATGCTGATATTTATACAATTTGACATATTAAGGTAGTTAATATGAGGCACATATAGCTATATATATCCTCAAGTGTTTGATAAGTTTTAGAAAGCAAGTTAAATATTTAGAAATGCAAATATCTGTAATGTTTGCTATCTACAGCTTACAGGAGGTATTGGGTAATAATGAACAATTGAGAGACACCCTACAGGACTCCTCTACAGGGACCCTCACATTTGACTTGCTGATTTCTATGAATATGGGTTTTTTTGCAGGCCTGTGTTTGTGTCTCTATGGATTTAATAACAGTTAAGAAGCTAAGCACCTGTGGTTTCTTAGCACTCAGTGATTTTTTTTTTCAACCCAAAACTAACCCAAAATAAAAACCCGACTCAGAAAGATACCGATTTGTACCCTTCCTTTGAAATTCAGAGATTGATATATTAGTCCTACTGGCATTTTTGTGGGAAGAATGAAAACAGTGAAGGAAATTCATAAATACTTGAAAGACAGTTTGGCTATAAATAGAGTCCAGGTTAAAGAAACATATGTATTTGTTTAGTTTTATGAAGCATCTTGTTTTACTCCCAGCAAAAGCACTTCCATCACCTGATTTAAACATCACTGAAGCCTGGGCAGGATAATGCCAGCTGCCTTCTTTCACAGATGAGGAGCTAGAAGGTGCCACAGCCACACGTCTGGTCTGCTGGCCACCCTGCCTCAGCTTCTGTGTGGTCCTGCTGTGCTCCTGTGTCCCCGCATTTCCTTCTGCAAATGCATTTTCTGAAGTTAGTTAAGTTTTCCCGGCGAGCCCAGTTAGGAATAGTTAATAAAAGGGTGAGTCCAAAAAGTAATTTTTTTTTCCTGTGCCCAGATTGGTGGGAAATCACCTGGCAGAGGAAAGAAGGTGGACTCAACTCAGGTCTGAAATTCCAGTCAGCCCTGACCCTGATTCAAAGTAACCCCTGGGAACCTGTATGTCTCCCTTAAGATGACGATGGTAACACTGCTCTCCCCCAGCTATGTGAAGAATTTAAAAATAATATATTTGCAATTTCTTAACATTGTCACAAGCTTTTTGTTAGTGATGATAATCACAATTATGTTCATTGTTTATAAATATTCCATTTGTAGCCAAGTCATCCCTGCCCATGATATCCAGCCCTACAGTGAGGGCTACACCTGAGCAGACAGTGAGCTTCACTTGCAAATCTCATGGCTTCTCCCCCAGAAACATCTCCCCTAAATGGTTCAAAAATGGCAATGAGCTCTCAGCCTCCCAGACCAGTGTGGATCCAGAGGGAGACAACATTTCCTACAGCATCTCCAGCACAACGAAGGTGCTGCTGGCCCCGGGGGATGTTCACTCCCAGGTCATCTGCAAGGTGGCCCATGTCACCCTGCAGGGGGCCCTCCTCTCCACGGGACTGCCAACTTGTCTGAGACTATCCCAGGTAGATGCCCCTCATGTCAGCTCAAGCCCACTCCTGCCCCCTAGGCCCCAGCTACCTCCCCCAACCTGTTTTTTTTGCTCCAGGCCTTGAATTGCCTGGAATCTACTTCCTGACATTCCTGCCCAACACCAGGCTTCTAGTTGAGCTGTTCACTCACTACTATGGACACCTGTGCCAAACACGAGCCTGAATAGTTTTCTTTACTTTATCAATGGTTTCTCCAATTACTGAGCACCTACTATAAGCCATGGAGAAGGAGCACCTACTATAAGCTGCTCCAGTGTTCTTGCCTGGAGAGTCCCATAGACAGAAGTCTCTCGGACTGCAGTCCCCAGGGTCGCAAGAAGTCAGACACGACTGAGTGACTAGGCAACACCATTAGCCAGGCCCTTATGTGCCTAGGGGTTTCATTTATTTTGCTGCAGTTATGTTCCTACTGTATGATAGGGGCTGATCTTGCTGATTGTAAACATTATAACCCTAATAGAAGCTCTCCGTTTTTGAGCACCTACTGTGTGCCCTGAACTGTACTTAGTGATTTCATTCCTATGCAGAGAGACCCTCAGTGTTTGAGCACTTGCTGCCTGCCTGCCTCTGACCTGGGTGCGGTGACCTGTCCCATATTGGCAGAGCTTCCTCCCTGTGATCTTTCAGTTTTACCCACCCTGGAGCTTACTCAACACCCCATGGGGAACCAGGTGAATGTCATTACCTGCCAGGTGAACAAGTTCTACCCCAGAGACCTGCAGCTGACCTGGTTGGAGAATGGAATCATATTCTGAGCAGAAGTGACCTTGGCCCTCATAGAAAACAAGGATGGAAACTTTAACTGGATGAGCTGGCTCCTGGTGAACCCCTCTGCCCACGGGGAGGCTGTGGTGCTCACCTGCCAGGTGGAGCATGACAGGCAGCCGGCAGTCACCAAAAACCATACCCTGGAGGTCTCTGCTCCCCAGAAGGACCAGGGCACCCACAAACTCCCTGGTGAGGACTCCACTCCAACTGACCCAATTATTTGTTTTTATATAATGAAGGGAGTACTTCATGCTTTTTATTGAACAATGTAGAAGTCAATAAATATAAACTAGAACTTTAAAGTGAATTCCCTCCTAACCTAAAGTATGATATATTCTTTATAGATCCTTTGACATAAACATCCATGACATTAAGAAAGAGAGGAAGGAGGTATATCATCCTGTTCCGTGTCCTGCCTCTTTCTTTCTTCAAATAACTGTTTCTGTGTCTGCCCACATGCCATCTCCTTATTCTTTCTAACCTCTGCCTGGTCTCTCTTTAGCCTAGATTTTTCCATCCATATCAGGAACATCACACCAGTAAATGTCTGTACTTACTACTCTGAAATTCTGGGGGAGCCCTGAGGACATGAAGTTGGAGTTGCACCAGGCACCCGGGTGACCGTGAGTGGTCACTGCACTCACTTTGTGACAGTGGACCAGAAATGATCACAACCGCTCACTGCACATTAATTAAATGTAACTGTCAGTTCATCTCCTTTTGTGCTTCAGCCACCCAGAGGGCTTTAAGTTTATAGAAATGACTCAGGGAGCAGTGGGGATGGGGGTGGGTCTTGTGTTGTTGAAGATTTGTTGCCTTTAGTCCAGGTCATTGGGCTAAAGTAATCAAGGTGAATGAGTTCCTGAGGACAGGAATTCCAAGCCTGCACAAGAGATACATGCTAATTACAGACTTGTTCTCCCACAGCTTGGACTTGTTCCAAGGATAGTACCCCCCTCCCTTTATATAAATAAAGCATCTTGTAGACTGTCATGTAACATCAAGAGAGGGTCAAGTCAGGTTTCCAGGAATCTTTCTCCAGAAGATGTTTCAAAGGCCCACATTTCTTCCAACATGTCCTATGGTATTGTCCTCATCTACTGGGTCAATGCTGGATCACTGAGTGTCCATGTCCCTGCCTGCTGGAAGAATTAAGAGAGGAAAGAGAGAACAAACAACTTCCTTTAAACAACTGATATAGAGAAGTTGCATAATTGTGTCCACAACTTATGTGTGTCAATGGTGTCTGCAATTGTGTGGTCTTTTGGTTAGGGACATTATTTTCTATAAAACTAATAACAATGCACACTTAATAAAATCAATACTAATTCCCAATATCATTTAAAGTGGAATATAAATTCAAATTTTTCAAAATATCTTTTATTATTATTTTTTGTTCACCAAAATTGTTTTTAATTCATCTGTAAGTTTTTGGCAAAATTTTCCCATGACACCAGGTGGGTCATGAGAATCTTTTTTTTTTAATTTGAAACAAAATTTCAATTGTTTAAGACTATTCAGAACATTCATTTCTTACTGTGTGAGCTGTGGTAGGCTGTGCTTTTTGAGTTATTTGTTCCATTGTCTCTGAGTTTGCAAATTGCTGTCTGTACAGTTGTTCATAAAATTCTCTTATTATCCACTGATACCTGCAGAGTCTGTACTAATGTCCTCTGTTTCCATTCCTGTTATTGGAAATGTGTCATTCTTTCTTTTTTATTTGTCAATTGTACTAGAAGAATTTCATATTAATGGTGTTTTGAAAGAACACACTCTTTGTTTCAGTTATTTTTTCTATTATTTTTGTTTTAAGTTTCATTGATTTTTGTTTTCTGTTTTTGATTTCATTTATTTTTCTTATTTCTGTATTATTTCCTCTCTTCCTTTTGCTTTAGGTTATCTTGCTCCTCATTTTCTAATTTCTTGAAGCAGAAATTTAAATTATTGGTTTAGACTTTCTTTTTTCCTAGTGCCACATCTGGGTCTCTTTTTGTGCTAGGGAATTAGGAGAGTGGACCTGGGTGGCTGACTGCCACAAATACATACACACACACACACACACACAAATATGCTTAATATTGTTGTAGAGGTCAGATGTCTATGGTGGTGGCTGGGCTGTGTTCCCGCCAAAGGCTTTAGAGGAGAATCCATTTCCTTTCCCTTTCCAGCTCCCAGAGGTGCCCACACTCCTTGGCAAAGGGCCCCACATCACGCTGACCTCTGCTTCTGACATTGCACCTCCTTCTCTGACTCTCCTGCCTCCATCTTTTATTTGTAAGAATCTTTGTGATCACATGGGCTCCACTCAGAAAATCCAAGATAATGTGCCATCTCAAGATCTTTAACTTGATCACTACTGATCACCTCTTTGACATATATGGTAATCTATGCACAGATTTGGGGGATTGTGTGCCAACCATATTAAATCAAGAATAGGTTGAAACCCCTTCCTGTGATCTATGTACTATTCTGCAGGACATTTTTTTTTTAATATTTTCAAAGTTTAGGCAAATTTAATATTGGTGGTGTTATTTTCAAATATTTAGATTCCTGACCTTATCAGACTTGACTATTTCTCCTGAAATTTTTCTAATGGCTGGCTGAGGATGGGATTGCAGCCTAGTGAGTGATTGTGCACTAGGACTTGCTGAATTTTCTCTTGTCTCACAGTTATTTTCATACTCTGGAATTTTCTCTTCAAGTAATAGGACCCTTGCAGCCTGAGAAAAGAGAGTGTGTGATGAGGGATTCCTGTACCCTAATGTCTGCCTCAAGCTTGAGGCCAGGAGGCAGGTCAAAGCCACAGAGTGTTGGTGGGCCCAGGTGGCCTCAGATGGAGTAAGTGGAAGCCCTGGGAATGGTTCCTCTGTGATCCTTCTAATCAATCCTCTTATCACCTGATTTCCAGGCCCAGGACAGTCTTTGCCTCTCCTGGTAGTTTCCCTCCTAGGCCCCAAGGTGCTGTTATTGGTTGGCGTCTCCATCATCTTAATCTGCAAGAAGTTTTGAGCGTAAATGTAAGTTGGGGTGGGATGGAGGGCAGGACAAGTTCTGTCCTAGAGCTTGGGGAGGCTACTCATAGACCACATGAGGTCAGGGCCCACGTTGAGTTAAAAGAGGGTGAAGTAGCTCCCTCAGTCTCCTCAGGAGACCCTGCTTCCCTCTCAACATTACCCAGTTCTCAGGAGGGGTGTGAGGACCTGGAGGAGATGGGCTGGATCAGGGGTTTTCAAAGGGTGTCCACAGAGTCTTAGGGGTTCGGAGGGTACTGAATGAGGAACACCTGAGTCGGTGGTTCGCTTAAAATCTGGGACTTCTTGGGACAAAAGAAATCCATATTTTAGGGCAATGTTGAGAAGTTTAGATCAGCTGTTCTGAGGGGTGTCTTGCTCTGACCCTCTGTGTAACAGAGTAGAAAGGCTTAGGAAGGGGCATCAGGGGCATAGAATCTGGGGAGGAGGGAAAGAGGCTGAGTGGGCAAAGTCCTATCTCAGGAGCTGCCCATCCTCTCAGGACAGGCATCCTAGGAAGAGAACACGTGGGTACATCAGAGGAATTCATGAATTGTTTCTTGAGTGACGAGCACATAACTATGACATTTTCCCACAGCCCCATCCTTCCTGCCTGCTTGGGGCCACCCTCTGTCTCTGCTGCCTCCTTCCCTCCCTGAAGGGCCCAGCCTTGGAGAAGGACCCAGCTAGAAGCTCCCACAACTTTGCTCCAAATGCCTCCCTTCCATGGAGACCTGCCTGCTCACATGTTTCTGAAGCCCCCAGAGCTGTGTCTTCATACTTGTTCCTGAGTGGGGATCATGGGAAGTAGTTCTGGGAACTGACTCGTGACATATCCCTGGAATTTGAGAAATAACTCAGATCAGCACGACCAGGTTATCTCTCATCTGTAACCCTGGACTTGGCTCACACTAATGTTCTCTGCAGAGAAGTTATTCTGTCTTCTGTTCACTAGACTCCTCACCGTTTGAGTATAAATGATGCCCTATCTTGGTTTTAAGAAAAATTATTCTCCTTCCTCATTGTCTCAATAGCCTATTTTTCAAACCCAAAGAGTAGTGTTCCCTCCTTTCTCTGTGATGGGAAGCGTAGTCTTTCTATCATTTTGCATCCTTCCCAACCCCGTTGCTCATGGTAAATACACTATGTCCAGAAGCCTGGTGTCATCTTTGATTGCTCTTTCTTTTGTATCACATATTCAGTTCTGTCTTTAAAGTGATTATGTCCAGTAACGTGAGGGTAAATCTTTAACAACTGATTGTTAAAAAGAAAAAATAAGCCTAATTAGTAGTACATGTCAAATTCTTGATGTAAAATGCTTTCAGTGTGGTCAAATTCAAGTTCACAACCATTTAGCAACTTAAAAAATTCCTGAAAATGTAAATGTTGTCTCTCTTGAGCCAGTCCAAGCCTCTCACAGCTCACCGCTGAACTCTCCTTAATCTGCACACTCTCACCCCCATCACCACTCCCTGTCCCAGACACTATCATCCCTTCCTGCACCAGTGCTATGGTCTCTAACTGGCTTTCCTGTTTCAGGCACAGTGATTCTCAGAATGTCAGTCAAATCCTATCTCTACCCTCACCTTCTTCCTCCAACATGACTGCTTGGCTCACTCTTTTCCTTCCTTGCAGTCTCTGCTCAAATGTCACTTTACCAAGGCACCTTTCCTATACCACACTGTGTAAAGTATCAATTCCATTCTCACCATGGCATTCCATGAGCTCTTAACCTGGTTAGTTTGTTTCCTGAGCACTTATTACCATCTGACATATAAAAGATAGGCAGCTCTCACTTTGAATGGTAAAGAAGGACTATAAAAATTACTGTGTAAATGGAATCATGGAATCCAATCTCAGTAATGTTGGGATGAATAATGATTGTTTTGTGACTTTTAAAATTTGTTTTTAAAGCATTAGAAACTCTCTGTCAGCTACTAACAATATATAGTTTGACAAAGTAGAAACATTGAGTATTAAATCAATTAATTTCTTTATAAAAACTTATCTAAAGTGTTTGAACAGTGCCTGGTTTCTTCTTCTTGTATAATGTACAATATAAGAGCATCTGTTTTACAGCTTGGTGAATTATGCTCCTTGGTAAGTTTGGATCAATTTCCGACATTTTATGCTTGTACTCTCAAAGTTGTGAAATCTTTACAAAACTTCCTTTAATTTGAAATATTTGCTGCTGTCACTTCCTCAGGGAATTTTCACCCTTTTCTTACCACCCACCAATTTCCTCATTTATGTCGTAAGTTGGCCTTCACTAAGTGCTTCTGACTGCATATCTGGAATCTTTCTTACAGTATAAAGTTGCTACTCAACTATTTTTTCTGTAATCCATTTGCATTCAATTTGAATATAACTTCTGGAATCATCACTTTTTGTCTCTCCATTGCACTTTTATTTGTTGCCAATTCCCTTTTACAATTATTCAGTTTGTAAATGACATGTGAGTTCTTTATTGGGAGAAAGGAGACAACACAGCTATTTATTTTTCTGTCTGTGCCAAAACAGAGTAACAGAGTCACAGTGACCAATCCTGCAGACTTCTGAAGAATTAACAGGATTGGTTATTGATCATGATGATCATCTGTTAGTACTTAGTGATTTGTGGACTGACATAGAGTTAGCAGCAAAGTTGTACTTCATGTAATTGTTCACAGTAAATTTCCTGTGACAACTGAAATCTGAACCATGTGTTGGGGGTTGATGTTATTCAACTAAACTGAAACTAATGCACCCTGCAACATGAACTCTGATGTATGTGCTGTCTCTTCCTCAAACAAGATGTCAGTTTTATGAGAATAGACTGAATCCTCAGTTGCCAGAACATTGACTGCCACCTACCAGGCCATTAATGTTTAATAAATGAATGAATTAGTTTTTACTAAATGTTGGATTTCAAAATAAAAATTATCTAATTTAGTCACCTGGCTCTTGTGTTCTAAAGTCCTTTCGTTAAAGGCTAAACTCCTCACTTTGTGTTTAGAAGTCTTATAAAAAATTCAGTATCCTTCAGAATATAAGGAAGTGAAAAGCCAAAAGAAAATGAAACTAAAATGCAAAAACTGACATTTACTAGAGTTTGTCAAAGGGTCTCAGGAAACAACAGAAAGAGGCCCCAATAGACAAAGCTGGAACAATTTGAGCAACAAATATATTAAGTATTGGATGTAATGCTTTTGTCACCTCAAAATTCATCTTTAAAATGTTAATGCCCAATGTACCATGCTTCCAGTCGGTGCATTTGGAGCACAACTAGTTCACAAGGGATCCTCTATCATGAATGGGATTGCTGCTGCTGCTGCTGCTAAGTCGCTTCAGTCGTGTCCGACTCTGTGCGACCCCATAGATTGCAGCCCACTGTGCTCCCCCATCCCTGGGATTCTCCAGGCAAGAACACTGGAGTATACTTTCCAAAAGAGATCCACAAGGTCTTCCTAGTTCCTTCTGTCATGTGAGGATACAATGAGAAATTTGCAATCCAAAAGAGGGATTTTGGATCAATCCAAAACTATGCTGCTACTATGATAGTGGAATTTGGGCCTCCAGAACTGTGAGCAATAAATTTCTGCTTTCTATCACTCAGTCTGTGATATTTTGTTATAGCAGCCAAAATAAGCTAGGATTGCAACTTCAAACATCAAATAAATATCTGTGAACCCATATTGATGTAAATAAATCATTGAATATATTAATGAGTGGAGCAGAATTTTTAAAAATCTTCTGTACAGGAAAGTCCTAAACAATTTGTGTAGATACTTCACTCCAAAAAAGGGAAACCCATTTTACCACTCCTGAGGTATGGGCTTATGTGGTGACTCATTTCCAAAGAAGAGAGAATGGAAGGAGGAAAAAGCGTAACTTTATGGTGGGGAAATTTGACAAATACAAATGATCCAGGTCATTAAATGTTCTTCAACAATCAAAATCAATATCAATAGGCATAAATCATGCAGATCTGATGAAAATGGCACTTTTCCTCTGGGACTTTCTTCCCATAAAACCTATAACCATCGTTTAATTATGAGAAAGGCATCAGAAAAGTTGTAGTAGAGGGACATCCTACAATAAATTTGAGAAGTAATTATCATATCTGTCAAAATCGTCAAAAATAAGGAAAGTCGGAAAAAATATCACAGCTGAAAGGACCCCAAGGAGAAACATGACAAGTAATGTGTGTGGTACACATCCTGTGTGATCCTACACAGGATCGTTGAAAAGACAAGGATTTTATGAAAAATTTAAGGAAGCCTGTTATGGCCCAAATGTTTGTGTCCTTCCAAAATTCATTTGTTCAAATTTAATCCCTGATGTGATGGTATTTGGAGGTGGGTCTTTGTGAAGGACTTAAGTCTTAAGGGTGGAGCCCTTTCCTAGAATGTCATATATTTGGAATCATGCAGCATGTAGATTTTTACTTTCAGTTATTAAAAACAATTTAAGATTCCTCCATATCTATTGAAGAATTGAGAGCTGATTTCATTTTAGTCAAGAATAATATTTGATTATCTGGATTCACCAATTTTTTTACCAACTCATCTAGGTGATTTTCAAGTTTTTGCAAGTATGAATAAAGCTGCTATGAACTTCAGGGAGAATATTTTCCAGGACTCTCTCCTGATACCTTAAATATCCCTTGGATTGTAGATGGCATGCTCCATCTGTGTCACAACATCTTCTTTCTGTGAATGACAGCTAAACTGTGCCTGAACTCCTGATTCACACAAGTATGAAATAATAGACTTGCTTTTTTTAAGCTACTATGTTTGTGGTAACATGTCATTAAGCAATAGAAAACATATGCACTGAAACTGAAAAATCCATCAAGAGGAAGTCTTCCGTAGTTTCACAGAACTCATCTTGCAAGCAGTCTGTGCATCTTTCGTGAACGTGAACTTCATGACAATGTTGCTTATGTACCACCCAAGAACACATCCAAGAACAATTAACTACTAAGGAATAACATTTTGTTGGCTAGGGCTGAGCATTGATTAATATGAAACACTTTGATAGTTAAGAATTTTCACAGTCTAAGAATCAGTTTTCACCCATTAGGGAAAATATCAATTTCATGGAGAAAAACAAGTATTAACATTTATTTTGGTGAATTGGGATAAGTTGACTTTTGCACCATAAAAGAATCTGTGGAAAATGGGAGGTAGCTTTTTCTCCAGGTAACTCTGTGAATACTGTTTGTTTGTTAAGATCACATTGTCCTTAGCCTGGGGCCTTGTCTCTGATCCCAAAACATAAAGAAGAGTTTGACACAGACTCTATTTGACATTTCTTGTTTATTAGAAATGTATTTGTCCTCATTGCAAGTATGTTTATTTAAGTGCCTGTTATGCTCCAGACCATCCTTATATCCTAATGTAGAAGAGAGGTGCCATCTTCCTTTCTGTGTACTGGGTCCCTTCTTCTAACCCAGGTGGCAACCACATTTATAATTTTTATACTTTGGTGCCACTACATGTGGCCAAAAGAATGTGGAATGAAATCTCACCTTGATCTATACCAGAACCTCAGAACCTCTTGGGCAAGACAAGGAACATGAGCAATGATGTGACATTTCTTCCAAGAACTTCAGATAAAGAGTTTCCGGTGAACCAACCTGAGAGTTTAGTGTCAGTCAAGGCTGGAGATGTTGCAACCAGGGCTGCAACATGTCTTCTCAGTCCCCAGAAGGTCTTGTCTGGTTCAGTTGGGACTGGGCCAGAATGATAACTAATTTATGGTTTCAGTGGAAGGCAATTCCCACAAGTATTCCAAGTGGAAAACACAATGACCAATCAATTAAATCGATTTCATCTGCATCAATTATGTGTCACATGGGATGGTGACACCAACACTGTGTGTAGTTAGTGAAAGGACATCCTGAGAAGTCCATATATCTTGTTCAGGTAACTAAGTGTTCATGGATGGTAAAAATAATCTGATAAACTACATCCCTTTGCTTGGTAAAAGTAACTTTTTTATGCAATATGCTCTAAATCATTATCACACACTGGATATTGTACTCCTTCATTCACAAACAACCCCAAAAGCCTGATGATGACCCTTCTGATTATTCTTTCAAGAATAATCCTGTGTCCAATACTGATTCATGCCAGGCTGAGATGCTATGCCTTCTGTGATGGCCAACTTAAGACATTGGACATTCCAATTAAAACCCAAACATAAGACACTGGGCATTCCCAATTAAAACCTGAACATGACACTGGACATTCCCAATTGAAAAAAAAATAGAGGTTGGAAAAAGGCAACTAAATGTGTGTACTGTAGGGTCCAAAAGTCTGGAAAACTGAGACCTGGATGGCTAACAAGTCATTCTAAAATGTGAAAGTGAAAGTCGCTCAGTTGTGTCCAACTCTTTGCGACCCCAAGGACTATACATGGACCCTGGAATTCTCCATGCCAGGATACTGGAGTAGGTAGCCATTCCCTTCTCCAGGGGATCTTCCCAACCCAGGGAGCAAGCCTAGGTCTCCCACATGGCAGGCAGATTCCTGCCAGCTGAGCCACCAGGAATGTCACTCTGAAGTTTTAGACAAACCTGGGCTCCAAAATATTTATTATATCTCTTATGATCTATTTCTTGACCCTGAACATCAGAAACTGATACTTGTAGCTACATTTTCACTTCTGGATTTAGGATGAAATCTCAACATGGGTGAAGTTTGCCCCTAGATTCCTAATATCAACTGAGTCAAAGCAACGAAATCTGTAAGCAAGCAGAATCTCTTCCAGTCGGTGAATTCCACTCACCCATTTCCAACTGGAATATAACTGGGGCCTGTGGCAGTTACCTGAAGGGCCACCACAGTTCAGTGTGGGACCTCATCCCCTACACAGGAACTCAATGAATGAGTATGTCCTCCTACTGTGGCCAGAATTCGCTCTGGGGAATCATGAGACTAGAAGGAGTGAGTGTCACCCAGCCCCAGATTTTGTTTACAAAATTCTTCCAGGAGAGTTTAAGTCAGTCTCCTGACATTTGACCTTTCCCTTGTCTGCTCTGAGAACTGTGCCCTAAGGTCTACTGTTCTTTCATTCTATGGAAACAACCAATGCTTCCTGCTCCTTGCCACCTTCTGATTTAACATTGTGAAATATATTGAGATGAGTGTGTTTCTCTGTTCTGAACACAAAGCCAGCAGAAGGAAGAATGTGAAAAATTAGAGCAGAGATAAACAAAAGCAATGAAAATCAAAAGAAGGCAGTAAGAGAGGAAGAGAGAAGGGGAAAGATACAACACAGAAAACAATTAACAAAAGGACAATAGTAAGTCCTTCCTTATTAGTAATTATTTTAAATGTAAATTGATTCAGTTCTTCAATACATGAATGTATAGACATAGATCCGGATCACCCGAATGTGCCTGCAATGTGGGAGACATGGATCCTTGGATCAGGAAGATCCCCTGGAGAAGGGAATGGCTACCCATTCCAGCATTCTTGCCTGGAGAATTCCAAGGACAAAGGAGCCTAGCAGGGCTACAGTCCATGAGGTCACAAAGAGTTGGACACAGCTAAGTGACTACTACTTTCACTTCTTGCCCTATTAGTACTTAATTTAATTGTAAATTGATTCAGTTCCCCAATACATTAATACATAGACGTAGATTGACTAAATGTGGAAAAAGTAACCAGGATACAAGTCCATGGCATCTGTAAGAGTCTAAATTTAGATCTATGAACTTAGATAGTCTGAAAGTGAAAGAAAAGAATAATGTGCTCCATGAAAACAGTAACAAAAATATAGCAGTGGGTAGAACTATCCCAGTAGTAGATAAAATAAAATTGATCTTAAAAAACAGATACAAGATTCTTGGAGGAGCC